GTGGGAAGGCTGAAAACTCCTATACCCAGTTTTGTTTGGAGAGCCAAATAGCAAACACAGACAGATTACTTATCATCAGTTATACCAGGTTGGGCAATTTATGGCCTACCAGAAATTGCCGGACTGCAACTCCTATCAGCCCTAGCCAACATAGCAAATGGTGAAGTTCTGCAAGTTGCTCTTCCCTGAGTTATATGGAATGTTACTTATCTTCATGAAGGAATCCAGCTATGTCCACCCATAGAATGGAACAGCTGGTGGAAAATATTTCCCTTCCCTGTAGCCTATCTGAACCTGAGGGGTGGGTGTCTTTGGAGCAACGTGGGGGGGGGGGGGGGGGGGAGAGAATCCAGCACCATGACACTGGATGTCACTTTCCTGGCAGAATCTTATTGGTGCACCATTACTTTTGCACTTTTGTCATGGCTACACAGTTCCTTTCTCTTCCTCCCACCACCACCTATGCTGTGGATTCTGGCCTCAGGCTGCTAGGACCTTGCCTCCATTATTCAGACTCTGAAGACTGGAGAAAGATGCCACGGATGCCAGTTCAACTAATACAGGGCATATGCCACATATTATACAAATTTTCTCTCAATTCCCTTAACTCATGTTCCTCTATCAGATGCTAAGTTCTGGCTATTATCTGTCACACCCCAAATGACCTAGGCCCACTGTATCTTAGGGTCTTTGCAGACTGCCAGAAATAGTGCACATTAAATTGAGGCACTGCCCTGGCTCAGTGCTAGGGAATCATGGGAACTGTAATTTATTGTGGCACCAGAGCTCTCTGACAGAGAAGGCTCAATGTCTCAGAAAAAAATCCAATTCCCATGACTCCCTAGCACTAAGCCAGGGCAGTGCCTCAATTTAATGTGCACTATTTCTGGCAGTCTGCAAAGGCCCTTAGGATTATGAGCCTCTCCAGTAACTGATAACTTCTATCACACCTCTTATTTCATGGAAAACAATGTAACTTCTGAGCAGCATTTTCTCTGTGACGGTGCCACAACTCTGGAATGTTCTCCCTCACCAGGTGAAAGGTTCATTATTCTACTCAGTAACTTGAAACTAATTGTTTTTTATATAATACTGGTTTAAGTCATTTTGGATACCAGGTCTGAAAGTGTCCCGATGTTATGAAAGCTTGAAATATTTAAAATATTTTTTTTTCTAACAAATCTTAATACATTTAGCTTAGATGTACTTAATACAGGTGACACAGAAGTCCAATATCAAAAGTAAGAAACTGAAACTGAATGTTGAATGCAATTAATATTATGCTGCCTCTACTAAACGCAGGTATCATCTTTTGTGGTAATGAAACAGGCCATGATTTTTTTTGCTGTTGTGTGCCTTCAAATCATTTCCAACTTACGGCGACCCTTTCATGGGGGTTTCTTGGCAAAATTTGTTCAGGCAGATTTTCTGCTTGTTAAGGTTGAGAGACTGTGACTTGCCCAAGGTCATCCAGTGGGTTTCCATGACTGAACAAGAATTTGATCCCTGGTATTCAGAGTCACAATCCAACACCCAAACCACTACACTATGCTAGCTCTCTGGCCTTTATGATACTTTTCTGTTATAACCTTGGAACAGTCAAATGAATTCATCTAGAGTAGTCTTATCCAGCTCCTTCTCTACCCCTTCAAAGAGTTAGAGATGTTCAGAATATATGTCTATTAAAATACTTCTATAGCACATTACTGATGTTGCTTTTGTACATTTTGTTTTAGTTTATATTCAAGGTTTTTAATTTTATGTTTGAGTTTTCTATTGGTTCTACTGGATCTGTTGATTGTAATAAGTGATGATGATAGTAAATATATATTTATCTATATCTTCACTGTGTCTCTATTTGGCACATATGACAATCTAAAAATATTTTATAAATATGAAATGCAACAAGCTGCTTAAACCTTAATGCTCCAGACAATTTCAACTTATACCTATAACAATAATGAGGATGGAACATGTGGAAACTGTATAAGCATGACATTCCAGTATTTGAAGAAGTGATACGGTACTACCCAGATCAAGTTAACCATTTCTTATAAGACCATTGTGCATGGTGAGAAAAAGTAAACGTTTGCACGCAGTAAACTCTTCAAAAGAGCACTTCCTCATGAGAAATCCCCTTCTCCCAGTTCTTTTCCATTCCCAGGATCTGTAATGACGATCTGAAACACCAAACTGATATAAGTGATACTTAATTTGAATCAACTGCTAATGGTGTCCACCAACAAATATTAAATAAAGAAACATATTAATATAGAACTTAATATTTAGCAACCACCTTTTTGGTAAAGGAGAGCCATTGTGGTACAGTACTTGACTGGATATGAGGGACTAAATTAAATATTCTCTTCAATGGCCTTGAATGCTCACCAAGTAGTCTTTCATCCAATATATATTAGCAACCCAAACTTTGCCTCTGGGGGCCAATTTGACAGGTAGCTTCAGGCTATCCCAGGGGTCTGATAAGAATGATACATTTTACACCCAAAGACATCTGTTAAGCTTTAAAGTACTCTTTAAGAATCTTTACCGGTTTCTCTCTAATGGCCCTTGGAAATAAGAATATGACAGACAGGTGTCCAACCATGCACACATTTGACTTCTCTCCCTAAAAGATGTTAAGGGTGAAACAACCCCTTAAAAATGCCATCCCAATTCTTCTGTGAAATGACAACAGCATGCAAAAAGCATTTTCATTTCAATCATTAAATAAAATAAATTAAATAAAAACAAAATCCACCTGAACCCTCAAGATTTGGAGGGGGGAAGCTTTCTGTCAGTGTCTGCAAAAATTGAGCTAAACAACCCAGCTGAACAGTGGAGCTGAACAACCGAGAGATTACCAAGGCTGCATCTACACAACAAAAATAATGTGGTTTGACACCGCTTGAACTCCCCTGGCTCAATGCTGTGGAATTCTAGGAATGGTAGTTTGTTGCCATTCCCAGAATTCCACAGCACTGAGCCATGGCAGTTCAAGCTGTGTCAAACCACATTATTTCTGAAGTGTGGATGCAACCCAGGAAGACCCACTGAACATCCTTACCTCCATTGATGGGCAAAGGAGCCAGAAGCAGGCCTGTGACCGCTTTTTTGGGAGAGTCCTGTCCATAGCGTCCACGGATGAGGAAAGCCAGACGGTCTGGATTCAAGACAGTCACATTGAGGAGAGCCGTGTAATATGCTTGGTTGGTGTTATCTGCGCTGGCAAGGAGAGCGTAACAGTTAAAGACCACCAAAATGGGCACAGAGGAGATACAGGTCCAGGAAGGCAAACCCCACTGTAGGATCATTTTCAGCCTGGAACAACAACAAAAAATGCTAGTCTTGAAAAAAAAATCCTCCTGAACCAAAGGCCTACGTCTATCGTGTGCAGAAATGCATATTTATTCCATACCGGTGTCAAAAACGGGTCCTCAAGCCATGAAGAGGCAAAAAAGGCATCGTGGCCCTTCTCAGCAGACGGCTGAGGAAGCGTAAAATGACGACACACTCTCTCGGGCACACTCTCTCGACTCAATATTATCTAGTCTAGTGCATTATAAAAATGAAATAATGACATAATATAATGGAAAGCCAACGAGGCCCGGATATATGACAAGCAAGACGGCTGGAAGAGAGACGACGGGCGAAGCGGTGGTGGGTTTTGTTGTTCTTATAATGATTATTAAAGGCGAGAGAGCGGGGAGGACGGTCCGTGTCCCGAAGCCGGCTCTCTGAGGAGGCTGGCTCCAATCTCCCGGGAAAAGCGGGGCGAAGATCGGGGCCTGCTCCTCTGGAGGGTCTGTCTTTCCCCCGCTAAGCGAAGACAGAGGAGGGAAGGAGGCGGAGGAGGAGGCGGAGGAGGCCACGGCCGCGGCGTCTCCTGTGGCGGCGGCGGCGGCGGCGGCGGCCGGGGCTTTGTTTCTCCGGAGGCGGTTCCGTCGCCGGCGCCCCTCAGAGGCAGGCCCCGCTCCCGGTCGGCGGCAGCCCCCTCAGGCGGGTGACTGCGGCGGAGGCAGGAGGAGCGGGAGCCCCATGGAGGCCGCTCCGGAGACTCCGGCCGCTTTCTTCCGCTCTCCCTCACTCCGGCTGGGCGCCCACAAGGGGAGTCGGTTGGTCGAGCGGGCGGACGGCCGCCAGCCTCCGTTCTCCTCCCTCTCCGAGTGGAGTCTGATGGCGGAACGACCAACGGCAAACCGCCGGTTAGGTCCTCGCGCCCACCACGCAGGCGCACTGCGCCAAGCCAACGGTCGCTCGGCCGCTCGCTGCCATGAGGAGGTGGGCGGGGACTTGGAGGTGAAGCCACGCCCACTCTCAAGGGGCGGGGGAGGAGGCGGTGAGGCCTTGGCCAAGGCGTGGCTGCTTGCAAATGGCTCCTCTTGGCAGAGGAGGACTGACGGTGTGTCCGCACTGCAGAAATAATCCACTTTGACACCGCTTTAACTGCCGCGGCTCAGTCAGTGCTTACAGACCTTCACGCATAGTTAGAGCTGTGAGCGAGCGCTACTGTGCCTGTGGGCCTTTACAGACTGCCAGAAATAGTGCAGCTTGAGGCCCCTTTAACTGCCCTGGCTCAGTGCTGGGGAATCATGGGAACTGTAGTTTATTGTGGCACCAGAGCTCTCTGGCAGAGAAGGCTCAATGTCTCAGAAAAAGCAGTTAAAGTGGCCTCAAGTTGCACTATTTCTGGCAGTCTGTAAAGGCCCTGTGTCTAATAAGCTCTGCCGAATTAAAGCGGGCTTAAAACTGGATTGTTTCTGCAGTGTGTTTTGGGCCAATGCTGTGGAATTCTGGGATTTGTAGTTGTGTAAGACGTTTAGCCTTCTCTGCCAGAGCTATGGCGCCACTGTTGTCGTGGTGGTGCCTTCAAGTAGTTTCAGACTTATGGCGACCCTATCCTGGGGTTTTCTTGGCAAGTTTATTCAGGGTGGAGGAGCGCCATTGCCTTCCTCTGAGGCTGAGAGAGTGTGACTTGCCCAAGGTCACTCAATGGGTTTCCATGGCTGAGTGGGGATTCGAACCTGGTCCTCCAGAGCCACAGCCCAACACTGAAACCACTGAGCCACACTGGCTCAGCAATTTGCTGGTGCCACAGCAAACTACAAATCCCAGGAGTCCATAGGATGGAGCCATGACAGTGTCAGACTGGATTATTTCTGCTGCAGTACAGATGCAGCCGAAGTCGGCATCTTTGCTTTACCTTAATTTAAGGTCTCATACGGGGTGACCAGATGTCCTAACTACAAAGGAGGACAAAGCACCGCAAAATGGAGGACACGACCAAAATAAAAGCTTTAAAAACACTCACAGAAATGTAAATTCAAGATTCTTAGCCATGCTCAAAAGGGGTGTCGTTTTGGAACCCCTCCTGGACAGAAGGCTTGAAATGTAGGATAGGTCCTGGAAAAGGAGGACGCCTGGCCACCCAACCCAGGCTTACTTCTATCCCACCTTTTTCTCAGTCCGTGACTCACAGTGGCTTACAGCAAATGACACCAAGAACACACTGGTAAAAATTCACACCATACAAAAGTTAAAGACAAGGTTTAACAATCACAACACTGGAACAAGATTAAAACATTCATCCTTAAATACACACATAGAGGGATCCTAAACACACTGCAGAAATAATCCAGTTTATGGCTCAGTGCTATGGGATTCTGGGAACTGTAGTTTTGTGAGACTTTGAGCCTGGTGCCACAACAAACTACAATTCCCAGGATTCCCTAACACTGAGCCAGGGCAATTAAAGTGGTCTCAAACTGGATTATTTTTGCAGTGTGCCATTCCCAGCATGGCTGCAGCCGGAGAGCAGTGGAGGGGCCCTGGTTGGCGGAGGGCGGCCGGCTGGGCGTGTGTGCCGTGGTTAGGAGCGAGCACCCCTCTCGGGTGTCCACACCCCCAGCATGCCCCTGGCCCCCATTCCCCACAAACTCTGGCACCCTCCGTATCATAGAATCATAGAATCATAGAGTTGGAAGAGACCACAAGGGCCATCCAGTCCAACCCCCTGCCATGCAGGAACTCCCAGTCAAAGCATCCCTGACAGATGGCCATCCAGCCTCTGCTTAAAGACCTCCAGGGAAGGAGACTCCACTACTCTCCGAGGGAGTGTGTTCCACTCTCGAACCGCCCTTACTGTATCTACATTCCCAGCCACTCAAAGTTGTGGGTAATTCCTCCTGAATGCTGAGCCCAAGTTCTCTGGTTTCGAGTCATTTTCTTACTCCAACTTTTGGGCCCTTAGGAGGGAGGCTGCGGGGACTGCAACTCCCCTGTTGCCTCACCATCACTGGCTATACTGGCTGTTTATACACAATAGGAGATGGGGTTTTGTTGTTGTTAACTGCCCTCAAGTCAATCTCGATTCATGGTGGCCCTATGGATGAGAGATCTCCAAGGACGTTATCACACGTGGGCCAGAAAG